TAAATAAATTTTAGAACATGCGTATGATGAAATATTATGCAGACGTTAAAAAGAATGGAGGGAAATGTTGCACATGCTCATATGGTCAGAGGTCCAAAATAATATAAGATTAAAAAAATAAATAAGAGAGGAGGGACTTTTAGTACAGCCAAAGAGCGTGGCAAAGCCATTCCATAAAAAGCAACAACAAAAGCTGACCACACATGTATAAGCAACCATTTCAGAACAGTGGGAACTGACTGAAGTTATATAATAAATTAAAAATACAAGAAATGTATTCGTGTCAGGCACGAAGAGTGGGAGTCTGTGGCATTTTGTGTGGGGATGCTACCCGCCCCCCTCCCCAGCCCAGATGACGTGTCGGTACCACTGTGGGGAAAGACATGAAGACCAACAGTTTGCTGCAGGGGAAGCTCCCTTAATTTGGAAGAAGGTATGAAAAACTCCCATGCCCAGGAGCACTGTCAGTATCAGTAGCCATTTTGGTAGCAAATAAATAGAAGCCCAGTGAATCAGCAAGCCTAATACTCAGGTTCTGGGTGGGGCAAGTGACAGCCTGGCAGACTAGCCAGAAACGTAGCAGCCTTGGAGAGCCTGGATACGCTCCCCGCACTTCTCTGCTGAATGGAAGGTTAAGCACATGTACAGCAGAGAATGGAGAGAGCTTAACACTCTCCACACATCCTTCCCTGACAGTGAGTCTGTACACCTGGCAAAGGAAGTAGAGGGATTAACACCTCGGTCACAAGTGAAGTACAGACCAGGGAAGATACGACGATGGACCAACCTGTGGGTGCACCCCCACAATTTTATCAGCAGGGGGCAGAGGCCTTACTAACACAGGTGTGTGAGCACAGCCTCTAAGTAATCACTGGCTGATGTCCGAGAGATGTGGCCATACAGGACACGCCCAGCAGGCCAGGCTTAAAAATAAAAGTGAGAAGTAAAAAAATTAACAAAGCTGTAAACCATGAAGTAGACAGACTCTGCAGATTTAGTCCAACTAAATTACTAAAGAAACAAACAAACAACAACTTGCGACAACAGAGCTTGAAGAATAAAATGAGTTGGAATGTAAATGTGCTATAATATGCTACCTGAAATGTGGAGTTTTCAACAAAAAAGCTGGGAGACATGCAAAGAAACATGAAAACATGACAGGAAGGAAGGAAGGAAGGAAGGAAGGAAGGAAGGAAGGACGGACGGACAGACAGGCAGTCAAGTAATAGTAAGAAGCTATCTTGGAGAGGGCCCAGATGTTGGACAAAAAAAAAAAAAAAAAAAAAAAAAAAAGATTTAGAAAAAAAGAAAAAGAAAAGAAAGTACAACAACAACAACGATAATGAAAAATTAACCAAAGGAGCGCAACAATAGAGTTGAGATGACAAAAGAATGGGTCAGCCAACTTGAAGATAAGCCAATTAAACTGATCCAGTTAGGAACACAGAGAAGAAAGGATGAAGGGAAAGGAGACTCAGAGAAATGCGGGGCACCATCAAGTGGACCAACATACAACGAATGGGAGCCCAGGGCCTGAGGGGAGCAGAGGAGAAAGAAAAAAGAGAAAAAAATTCTCAAGAAACAATGGCTGAAAATGTCCCACATTTGAAGAAAAACATGTACCTATGGCTTCACAAAGCTTAACAAGCAAGGAAGATAAGCACACACAACCATTGTCAAATTAATGGAAATGAAAAGACAAAGCCTTGGCAGCAGCAACAGAAAAACAACAGATCACATACATTAGCAACAAAATCATGAATGAATGCCCTTCTCACCAAAAATGATGAAGGCCAGAAAGCAGCAGACTGGCCTTCTATGACTGGAAAGAAAAAACTGTCAACCAGGAATTATACACACTATCTTTCAGAGGGTGGGCGAAATAAGGACATTCTGAGAAAAACAAAACCAGTTTTTTGGTTAGCAGCTCTCAGTTACAAGAAAGGCTAAAGGCAGTCCTTTGGGCTGAAAAGAGGTAGCACCATATGGTAACTCTACCCACAGAAAGAAAAAGGAAGCCAAAATGGTAAATGTGTGGGTTAATAAAGATTATAAGAACACGGCACTACAAGCCAATATCCGCCATGATTATAGATGTCAAGATCCTTAACAAGCGATTGTAAATCAATTCTAGCAACGTGTAATTTCAGTGGGATCTCACCTAGTAATGCAAGGTTGGCATAACATCTGGATATCAACTAATGCAATACACTAGTATTAACAACAACAACAACAACAACAAACACTCATTCAGGATAAAGCCTCTCAACACCTAGGGACAGAAGAGAACGTCTTCAACAAGATACAGGGCAGCAATGAAATCTACAGCTAACATCAGACTTAATGGTGAAAACTCAAAGCACCAAGAAAGAGGTCTATCTTCACGACTCCTACTCAACAAAGCACTCAAAGTTCTAGTCAGTGTAACAAGGGAAAAATAAAATAAAAAACTGAATTTTAATTTCCTTAAAATCCGAAAAGAAGAGGTAAAACTTATTACAGATAACAGGACCCTGCATATAGAAAATCCTAATGATTCCATAAAAATGAAACAACACACTGGAACTAATGGTTCGGCAAAGTTACAAGACCCAAGATCAGTGTATATAAGTCAACTGCATTTCTATAACCTAGGATCACGGAAAATGAAATTTTAAAAACTGCATTCACAACAGCATCAAAAAGTGTACAATACTTAGGAGTAAATTTAATCAAAGTATATATACGACTAGTACCTTGAAAACTATGAAACACTGCTGAAAGAAATGAAAAAAAATATCTGTTAAGTAGAGACACTTCATATTTGTGGATTGGAAAACTAAATATTGTTAAGATGGAAATAATCCCCAAATTGAGCTACAGATTCAATCCTCTATCAAAACCCCGGGAGGCTTCTGTGTGGAAATTGATAAGCTGATTCTGAAATAGATGTTGAAATGCACAGGAGCCAAAATAACCAAAACAATTTTGAAGTAGAACTTCTTCTTTGTAAAAGAATCAACAACCTGGATTTCAAATCAAAGTACTAGAAGGCTAAAGTAATTAAGGGCATGACACCGGCATTAGGACAGGCATATACATCAATGGAACAGAACTGAGAATCCAGAAACAAATCCACACATTTATGTTCAATCGATTTTCAACAATGGTGTTGCTGTTCAACGGGAAAAGAATTGTCTTTTCATCGTATGGTGCTGGGACAACTGGCCATCTATATAAAAAACGATAAACCTACATTCTACCTTCCTACCACACAAAACTTAAAATCGATCGCAGACTTGGGGCACCTGTGTGGTTCAGCGGGTTAAGCATCTGACTCTAGGTTTTCACTCAGTTCATGATCTCATGGTTTACGGGCTCGAGCCCCACATCATGCTCTGCACTGACAGCATGGAGCCTGCTTGGGATTCTCTCTCTCTCTCTCTCTCTCTCTCTCTCTCTCTCTCTCTCTCTCTCCCTCTCCCCCCCCACTTCTCCCCCTCTCTGCCCCTCCCCCACTTGCATGTGCATTCACTCCTTTTCTCTAAAAAAGAAATAAACTTAACGATAATAGACTTAAATGACACATACTATATACTAATACTATACTATGCTAATACTAATACTGTAAAAGCTAATACTATAAAAGATTAGGAAGAAAACAGCAGAAAATCTTTGTAACTGGGGGTTAGGCAAAGAGTTCTCCTGGCCAGCCTAGATTCAAGGACAGAGAAACCATGTCTTGGTGGAGGAGTGCAAAGGGGACAGGGTGGGAGGCCCTGTGGCAGCCCACGTGGCTAGGTCAACACCCCCTAAGACTGATCACTAAGACATTAAATTTACCTCTCCTTAGTCAGTCTTGTCAGAGTGCCAATGTTTATACGGGTATCTGATTCTTATCAAACTCCCCCATTAGACAGACTCCACAGGGGAAGAGAAAAGAATGTCTTTTATTAGTTTCCATGTATCTACCACATAGAAAGCACTCAAAATCTTTGTTTTTAAACTAAATGAATAAATGTATCATCATATTGGCTTGAGGGAACAAAGGGAAGCTTAAACATTTTCAGCTCCCAAGTAAAATGACTTAATACAATCCCATGCCTTGGCTTTTCCAAGCCAATCGTGATTGACAATATCCTTTCCTTGTAAATTCAACAGTTTTCTTCACAGATAATATAGTCATGATACATATGCTACAGTATGTAAAGTCAATCTACTAGACCAACCTGGGATTGCTGAAGACAGTCTTACCCCAGGCAGCTGTTTGGCAGATGTGACAGCTTCTCTAAATAAATTGTCTAAAGAGGCAAAATGTTCAATGTTTTAGTTTTTTAATCTAGAACATGCAAGTTATACAGAAGACCTAAATTAACTTTCATAATGGAAGTAGGGATACACTCTCTTTAAATAATCCCATTCTTAGCAACGTCAAAGTGTCTGGAAAGGGTTAAAAAGAGACAAGCAATTGTTCCATCAACAAAGCACAAAACACCTGGCAGAAACCAGCCAACTACCTCCACGGTGTCCTTCTTCTCTGGGCTTCTGACACTTTGGTCTGTCGTTACGTGTACCTCGCGGTACTGAAATCCTCGGCTTACGTTTCTCTCTTCTACGCTACGTGTTCCTGGAGGGTAGGGACTGCTTTTATTCATGCCTCTGGCCCGAACCCACACACAGTGCTTGGTGCCATGGAAGGCACTAACGCATCCGTGTGGGAGAACAGTGGATCTGGAGGTGATTTTAACACCACGAGGAAGCTTAGGACGTGGGAGCCCCCAAACGTGAACTGGCAAGGGTGCTCTTCACCCTTCTTGGCCGTGCAGCCTTCCCGGAGCGACCTAATCTCTTTAAAAACCCCTCGCCTCGATATAAAGAAAGAAAACTGCCGACCGATTCACAGGGACCCTTTCGACAAGTGAAGTGCTGTGCAAATAACAATCACTAGAAGAGTTACCAGGGGTGAAAAGAAAGAAAGGACTTCAAAGGACAGATTAACTGTCAGGGTGAACCGTACTAACAGGAATGAGGAACTTTTTGATTTCTTCCAGTGCGTGTCCCATCCGGGCATATGCTTCTGCTGGTGGAGCGAACACTTCGATGAGAACGTGGAGGTCGTCGTTGAGGTGAAAGTATTTTGCTTCCCCACTCTTCCTCAACTCTTCTTCCTGAAGAAAGGAAAACCATGCTTAAAAGCGTGTCTATAAGAAAAGGAAAAGAAACACTATGCAGAGCTTATCTGGCATGAGGCTGTCACAGAAGAGTCACTGAACAGCAAGCGGCACTACCCAAGGATGGAGGTTTGAGATACAAACCTGACCCTGCCATTCCCGCAGGGAATGCTACGAAAACACCCGGGCTTCCTGCTGCTGCTGGAGAAGTCTCAGCTCCTGCCTCTGCCGGGAAGGACACCTGTGTCCCCCCAGCTCGACGCCCTCCAGGCGCCCTCAGACCCCTGGCCGGACTGGCTGATCTCCTCCGTTCCCTCTACGCTGGTTATGCCCAGTGCCCGTAGTGCGGCCACAAAGCACTTCCGCCATCAAAGTGTCTGACATAACCTATTCTTTACTTGACTCTTTTCTAATTTCCCTCACGGAAGGTGGTCACAGTGGAGCAAACACCGTGACCGTCTTCTCTGGTGCTCGTCCCTGGTCTAGAAAAGTACTCAGGACATAGTAGACACTCAGCGAGTATTTTCAGTGACGAGGTAAACACTATCTCATTTCTATGTTCGCTTGTGACCGTCTTCTCTGGTGCTCACCCCCTGGTCTAGAAAAGTGCCTGGCACACGGTAGACATTCAGCGAGTCTTTTCAATGAAGAGGTAAACATTATTTCATTTCTATGTTCATTTGTTCATTCACATATTCATTCAAAAAAGCATTTCTACATCCCAGGCACTATATCTGAAGATAAAAACGAATAAAATAAATGAAAGATCTTATTACATGATTTTATGATACGCGTTAAAAAAAAACTTTGTTTTTATTTGTTTACATAACGAAACTCAGGGGGTAAATTAGGAGGAAAAAAACCCCAGATCAGAATGGGACAAGTGATTTTCGCCCATGATCTCCTAACTAGCATTCATTAGAGTGGCAAAGGACAGAATCTGGGACTTTTAAAAGTCTTTGTTTCCAACATTCAAATGAGACAGATTGAGATGAGTACGTACCTACATCTAGAGTGATTTCCCAAACGGGGAAAACCTTGCTAGCACCTCCAAAACACCAGCCCCACATGAAAGGGAACCCTAGAACTCCTGGCAACAACACCTTTTAATTCCACCACGAGCTAAGAGGTCAAAGAGGCACAAACACCCTTGACCTCACCACTTAAGGCTTCAACTTCTGTTACTTAACTAATTTGCTCTCTTATAAAGAAAAGAGAGATCCACATATGTAATATGAAAAGGGCACGGGGTTTTGAGTCAGATACACCGCAATCCTAGCCGTGCCAGCCACAGCCCAACGGTAGGCCATCTGTTCTAATCAGAACATTGGCCATCACTTCATCTCATACTCTGCCTTTCACAGCTGAAGGTTTAAACATCGAATTATATGTTCAACAGTTCACTTTTGGAAGCATAAACTAGAGAATTAAACATTTCTTACCCATTCTACGATGGGCTCCAATTAATGATGATAATGACAGGCCGTCACTGTGACTCACGGTGAAGCACTGTCATCGCTACAACGGAAGTAAACTGGAACAGCAGATCTTTCTTATCCTAACCCACCGTCGCACATCTCCACAGAGCGAGAAGCTTTACCACATTCTTCCCTGGGTTCATAAGGACTGGCAACATGGTGTGCGGGGAAGAACACAGACTTCGTTTGGACTCCTACATTCGAATCCCAAATCCAACATTTACCCTGTAACTTTGGGCAGGTTACTTTATCATCGCGAAGCGGTGATTTTAAGCGGGGAATAAGAGTATAGTATCAACAGATCGTAGGGTTGTTGTGGTAAGAAAGGAGTTACTAGAATAGTGATGAGGAGTTACTAGCAGTATGATGGAGTGGTAATAAAAAAAGGAGTCTCATGTTTAAGGACACAAAAAGTCCTTACAATGAGGCGTAGTACATCAGAAAGACTCAAAAAATGAACATAGCATCAATTATTCTATCATTCTATAATGCGGATGGGAAGGGCAAAACGGCCGGCATGTCTGGCACAAACTGAAGGCTCCAGAGACCACACGTTATAGTGATTGTTATGCTACAAACCCAGCTGATACAGGGCGGTAATGACTCCCATAATTTCATCCATGTAGAAAACACAAGAATAAAATGAATTACGGTCTCGTTAGAATTTAGACAGTGAACACTTTGAAAAGCTACAAGATTTTAACATTAAGTAATGGAAATCTCTGCAGCAATCCACATTATTTATTAACTGAGAATTTCTACAGGCTGAGAGGCTCAACAGAAGCCAGCGCTCGAGTTCAGGCCGTGAGGACCGACTGCAGGACGGCAGGCGGGACCCCAGTAAGTCCCCATCTGTGTAGAAATCATCACTCGTGGTCACGTCAGTGAAACGCCTTGAAGGTGTAACCGATGGCCGTGCGTGTGCACGGCAGGACGAGCAAGGCGGTGGGGTGGGGCGCAACAGGCTATTGTTCACTGTAGTAAAGAATTTTAAAAAGAGAGTGACAGACTCCAGACTTGACATTAGGAGTTCGAGGCTCAAAGAGCCAGCGGCAGCCTGGAGGGTGTCACCGCTCACGGCCGAAGGCCGGCGGAGGCCCCAGACGGAAGCACAGTCGAGGCCCGTGTGCCGCGGAAGGACGACGCACACGGCCCGGCCATCTCTTGTGTGGGATTTAGGAAAAGGTCTGGAGAGCAGTGAAGACCTGAGAATTGGACCAGCAACATCAGAGAGGATCCAGACAACCCCGGGTTTTCGAGGGTCACAGCCCTGCTGAACCTTCGGCACTGGCGGGAGCCAGTCTGCTGGAGCTCTTCCTACCCTGTTTCGAGTAGCCGAGGTCGTTCCGTGAAAGGAGAGGACAATCCTCAGGCTTTGTCACTGTTCCTCAGGATGACCTCCTGGCCCATGATCCCTGCCCGGCCCGGGGATGCAGAGAACAAGAGAGCTCGCGGTAAATGGCAACATCCCCTTGCGTGCACACGACGCTCCCTCCCCGTCTTGCCAACGAGGATCGGGGGCCTTTTACCAGAGTGACTGCACACCGAGAAGAGGTACCTGGCGGCCCGAGGATTAACGAACCTGACTCTGAGCCAACGCTGCTCAACTGAAGGCCGCTGATGAGGGTGGAGAGTGGGGTCCATGGGGTCAAGAGATAAAGGACTTCTGAGCCCGCCGCTTGACAGCAGGCTTAATGGACTGTGAACCTACAATGTACTCTACTTCCCCAGTTCCGGGGTGTCCTGAGGGAATGGAAGTGACCAGCCACTTACAGAATCTCTATATTGATTCTCAGACCCATGTGGTCAAGGACAGAGAAAGGAGAGGATTAGTGAAGGGCTGGTAAGTGGTCTAGGAAAGAAGCCTCAACAGGTAAGAGAACCGAGTGCCCCATGCAATGCAGAGCAGACACTCAGTGACCAGGGAGCCAAAGGGACTAACTGTAGATGTCAAAGCACCTCATTCCCCGCCCACCTCAGTGCTACTCAAGGGACTCCAATAAGGGGTCTGCGGTGAGAGAGAGGGAGAGATTAGATATTACTTCACAACACAGACTCCTCTGGAAAAGATTCCTGGCTACTGCACTGCCGAGTGTCCGCTGTGCCAACGGCAGAGAGAGCCCTTAAAATGATACCATAATCTGGACAGACCACCAAGCCCAGATAGCAAGCTGATAGTATTTAGGACCCCTTTCATTAAACGGATAGCCAGTCACTTGCTATTACTTGGACATATGATCTAACCAAAGACTTGCCTTCCCTGCTTCCCTTCTACCTGTAAAACTGTCCGTGGACGCCCTGATCACGGCCACCGTAAGCCATAAAATGTTACTTCTGACCAAAAAAACCCTCCCTTAACAGCAAACAAAATAAGCAGTACAATGTAGATGAATTTCCCTGGGCATTTCACATACCTCATGACCGGATGGCCTTACTGAAGACCTCATTAACGTTATCAGCAAGGATTGGGTATTTTCGTACAAGATACACAGAATTTCTAACCAACTGACCAAAATATGGTTCCCTTTCCTCCATCCAGAACAGACGAGTCACGGAATCAAAGGAACATCATCTGAGACAGCAATGCTTAGTGAGTAGTTAACCTAATCTGGCCCACACCAGAATCATTTCAAACCCCACCCCCTGAAAATTCATTTTGAGATTCTACCCTCAAAAGAGGCTGTATGGGAATCTTTATATTTAACAGCATCCCATGTGTGTCTGATACACAGCCATGTTTTAATCAAATAATTTCATAAGCTTCCTTGATTAACTCAGATATACACTCAGGTTCCCTAAATCTCAGGTTTTCTACACATAAAACAAGAAAAATATTATGTACCTTCCATCATTTTTGCAGGGAGAACACGGAGTAATGCCTGTAACATGTTTCACAGAGTGCCTGACTCACAAGCAGATGGCAGCTATTTTTTCTTATAAAAGCCTTTGTTTCAATGGACTTTTGTGTGGGGAGGCTGGATTTTGTGTAAATAATTTTCTTGTCGGACACAATCATCGTCTGACCTTTTATGGTAAGTGACCACTAAATGCGGACTCGGTTTTCAGGAATGTCAATCTTTTCACCACGACAGAACAACAAAATGGTAACAGAGAACACTGTCAGGGATAGCACGGCACGAAACGTGAATGCTTCTTTCAAAGGTGGTATATTTGAGAAAGTGATCGATAAAAACAACTCCATTAACTTTAACTTCTTAAAAAAGGAGGAGGTTAGCGTGAATACATCCAAGGAGAACAACTGTGTGTTGGAACGCTAAGCCATTATTAAGGCATCTAAAATCGACTTGAACCTGGTAAAACATAAAGGGTATCAAATGAAGGGCAAAAAGGGCAAATAAAGGTGTATACTTTATGAACTCAACCATGTGAAATACAAGCTTACAAAAAAGGCCCAAAGGGACTCCTCTAAAATGCCAACAGTGGCCCCGAGACCACAGATAACTTTGATTTCTCTTCATGGGAATTTCAGTCTCACTGATCTGTCTACCAGGTGTTGTATCTACAGTCAAAACCACAGGTATTGCTACTTCATTTTACAAATGAATGTGATAGTTACAGACGTACGTGTAAGACACTGCATGTTCTGAAACTGGCCCGAGTGACTCCATTTTTGGCCATATCCCAGACTCACTGCCTTCTATAACGTTTCCATATAACTTCATTTAAGATCCTAGCTAGCTCTTATATAATTTGTATTAATATGATGGATACTCTAAAGGTGGATTATACAACCTGTCTCCAAAAGCAGCCATTGTCTACAACGAATGTTACCTTTGCCTTGTCTCGCATGGAACCTTTTCCAAGGATGGACATTTTTGTCAAGGTTTCTTCTTGTAAGCGCTTCAGAGAATTGCCACGGGGACCCAAAAGTTTCCCCACAAAGTTGAACTAGGAGAAAACAAACAAACCAAATTGGTAAGTCATATCTGAAAGTAATTTATTAATCTTGAACGTCAGGAAACACGACAGTACACTGCACATTACTAATTAACGTCAGATATTTAAGTTCCTACTATATGCATCACACTGTAATGTTTTTCACAAACCCCATAAAATGGGGTTAAAAATTGTAAAGTAAAAAAACCAACCATTTCAATGATGGCTAGATTTCACAAATTATAAATGAAGCTATTCCCAGAATTCCTAAGTTGTTGTCCTGACACTTTCAGTAGGCATCTGACATGAAGCACAAACAGTGCTAGCATGAGGATGTGGGTGGGGAAGAGGTAATGTGCACTGGGCTGGTCATTATGGAGCATCTGGGTCCTTCCACCTGGTCAGTCAACCAGGGAGTGCACTGGCCTAGATGAGTTCTCAAGCAGTCAGTGGCTCACAAAGCTTTATGACAAAATACATCTACCTCTTCTATTTTTTTAACATTTATTTATTTTTGAGAGACAGAGAGAGACAGAGCGTGACCAGGGGAGGGACAGAGAGACGGAGACACAGAATCAGAAGCGGGCTCCAGGCTCCAAGCTGTCAGCACAGAGCCCGATGTGGGGCTCAAACCCACGAACTGTGAGATCATGACCTGAGCAAAAGTTGGATGCTTAACCAACGAAGCCACCCAAGTGCCCCAACATCTAACTCTTCTAAAACAACAAGCTTTGGAAATGTTGACAAAATATTTAGTCTAGATTCTACGGGGTTCTTTATTTAACAGGCAGCGTAGAAGTGAATTCATTAATGGCATAGATTCTGAGGCTACACTGCCGTGGTTTTAAGACATGGTTTTTCCATTTACCAGCTGAGTAACCCGGCTAGTAACTGCGTTACCTAATCTCTCTGTACCTTGGATTCCTCATCTACAAAATGAGAATGGCAAATGACAACACAACCCACCCTCATAACGCCGTTAGGAGGATTAAATGGGTCCATATAAAAAAACCAGAACAATGCTTAGCACATAATAGATAATAAATATATCTTGAATGAAAGGGTATTTCATGAATGAAAGGATATTATTAGGAATTTCACACAACTGTTAAAAGCGTTACTATAATTAAGTTGTGAATATTTCTTGTTCCCAAAAGGAAAAGTCAGCCCTACTGACTAGGCAATCTTTGGCAAGATTGCGGATTACAAACTTACGCAGCTGCTGCTTTGGTATCAGCTCTCGTCCACAATCTATGCCACTGCTGTGCTGTTGCTGTTTTTAAAAGACAATTGTTCCTCAATTTCTCTATGGAAAGTGAAGTAATATTCTTAAAATACGAGCTTTTAAAAAATCAAAATGGTATTTTTTCCTTGCTCACTTTTAATTTTATTAGTCTTCAATGAAAACTCAAATAACTACAGTATTTTTAACCTTCAAATTAAATACTTTTTTTTTAATTTAAAGTCAATTACTTTTTAAAAAACAGAAATGATACAGAGTTAAAAATATCAAATAATACAACGTAGGAAAAAATCAGTGTCTCCACCCACGGATCCCTGCCTTATTTCTTGGTTCCCCATTTGCTCTGCTTTATCTTTCTGGAAATTCTTATGTGTCTATCAGGATCTCCTGGTTTGGAACTCTAAATTTCTCTCTTATTCTTCCTCTTTCTCTTTCACCTTCTCTCTCTCTCTTTTACTTTCTGGGAGATTTAAGTATATTTCCTACATATCTTTTGATTTTTTCATTTTTGCTATCAAACGTTTAACTACTAATAGCATTTTCTTATATTTGTTCCTTTTTTACAGCATCTTAAAAATATTTTATGTAATTGATACAAATTCTTATCTTTCTGAGGATTTTAATGCAGTGCCCCCTTCCCCCAACTTGGAGCTTATAGCATCTGCTGCTTCCAACAGATTCATGTTGTGCGAATTGGTCTCTTCCTACATTATCGGCTTTCCTCAAGTGACCAGTAATCCCCCCTGCTGCCTGCTCTTAAAAATTTAAGGTTGCAGCTCAAAAACATTACCTGGACACCCTGGAACTCCCTGATCTCCCAGGAGGAGGTATCAGCCTGGCTGCTGGAATGTTGGGATTCCCACTATGAGCTACGTACACTTTTATTTAAGGGAAATAATGCCCTCATTTTCCAGTGTGGCATCTCTAGCCCTCAGTTGAATCCATCTGGGTCTCAGAGCCCAGAGTTTCTTTATTCAACCCCTTCAGGAAATCTCTAGTCTGCTGTAGGTGCCTGGCTTCATAAGCTGGGAGGAGCATCCAGTGGTCTAACTATTACTTCTTTTTTTAAATTTTATTTCTAGAGAAAGAGCATGTGCTAGCAGGGGAGGGTGCGGAGAGAGAGAGAAAGAGAGAATCTCCAGCAAGCCCCACCTCGGCACGGAGCCTGATGTGGGGCTCAATCCCATAACCCTGGGATCGTGACATGAGCCGAAATCGAGAATCAGATGCCCAACCAGACTGAGCCCCCCAAGGGCCCCTAACCACTTCTCACATAAGCTCTGAACCAAGTCTCCACTTCAGTTCTGCCCCTAAATCCACCTTCTCAGTAACTGGCATCTAGGATTCCGGAGTTTTCTCAAGGTGTTCCCACACTACTGACCAAATTTCTGGGACACTTTCTCTGGCCCTGTGAGCTTGGATTCTTCTTTCTCTGCTCTCCTAAGTCATTACCATTTGTCCATTTATTTTGCAGCCACTGAAATCTCACTCCAGTCATTGGCCTATTGTTGCCTCGCCCTTCCATTCTTGTCTTTGAGGATCTGTGCCTTTTTACTTCATTTACATTCATTTTGGCAGGTTTCAAGGATGGCATGAGAATACATTTGTGGTCAGCCATATTTGCATCACGTCTTTAGTAGTTAAATATTTCCCCATTAATAAAAACTAAGAGGCCTTAGAAATCATCCAGTCCAAACATCTAATTTTATACTGAGAAAACTGAAGCCCACAGAATGGTAGGATTTATTCAAGGTCACTTGTAAAACATAAAGACACAGGCCTCTACATACAGAGGAAAAAAGATTTTTATGATTTTATATGCCTTCAGGAGTTTCTTTCTCCATTTAACTTCTATTAGTCTTTCCTTCACAAAAAGTACATAAATGAGTACTTTGGCAAGCAGAAGATTTTCACCGACTTCTCTGTTCAAGCATGTATTGTGCAGGAGTCATGTGTCCCAGGTCAAGTCCCTCTCACGGGTGTCGGACTTCATCCACAACACAGGGACCTTAGGACCCACCGGCGGTGCTGGTCATATGAATTAAATACGGAAATGTATAAAAAATCACCTAACAGAGCAACCAATAGATGGTGCGTATCCTATGCCAAATGGGTAAGGAATAAATTGATGAATTCAGCTATTAAGAACATACATAATTTTACGTGAACAACACCCACCGGTTACTACACACCGACTACCCTCCGACGGCAGTGCATACTGAACCGGCACGGCCGTGCCCAGGTCTGCGGCTGAGAACTGAGAGCGCGGACCCTCAGCGTCCTTAATGCTGACTCACAACGACGGCAGTACGCTCGGTTGCTTGGTCGGGTTCTCAACCCCTGATTGCATCACCTTCCCGGGAGAATCTGGAAATACTTAGCATGTTTGCTTGTCACGCTGACTGTAGGTCACTCCTGGCACTTAGTGAGCAAAAGCCAAGACTATCACACATCAGAAACGGAGGGGACTGCCCCTCACAATGAAGGAGTGTCCTGTGTAAAATGTCAACCGTGTCCCTACTGAGAAACACCGCTGGGGAGAGGAGCCACCGACTCGGGTCCCTCTCTACATCTTGGGCTTATAGCCCTTGCTGCTCCTTCTTGCGATTACACGATCGGTTCCTCCGTGGATTCTCTAAGGTGCCATCATGTACTTGAACAAACCAAACCAACAAACCATAAGCCGCCCAGGTGGGTACCTACAACAAGACGAGGCCTAAGTGATGCATGGGCTGTGAAAGCCTCTTGCATCCTTCAGACAACACGAATGGTACAGGAGTTGGGGAGCACGGCTGTCTCAAGTGCCCAAGTTCTAGGACAAGCTGGTGCTCCCAGGCCACAGCCTTCTGAAGCAGCGGGGCGCCCTCTTACCGGCAGTGTGGCCACAGCAGTTCCTTAGCCCTCCCAGTCCCCAGTGTCACCATATTTGCCCCAGTGGAGGCTGCAGCACTGAAGGGTTATCAGGAAGATTAAAGCACATCAGATAAGTGTGCCCCGAGGATGCCGAATTGAACCAGCCCCAGTGCTCCTAAAACAGTGATGATGAGGACAGCCTGGGGCCCTTTCCCATTCCTGGGAATGGCTCCCTGCAGAGTTCCTCCTCCTCAGGGGATTTAGATAAGGCCTGTAGATGATTCCCTGTTCACCTAAGAGCAGACTGACCCAGACCCTGGACCTTCCCATTCTTTGCCTCACAAAAGATTGGCCAACCTGTCTGTCCCCACTGACCAGTCAGAAAACGTCCTCTCACCTCACCTGATCAAACTTCAAAGAAGTTCTCGTTTTCCTCACGCCCCTAAATGTGACCCACAGGCAACCTGGGCCAGCACACAATCCCTGAAGGTCCCCCCACTTCCAGGCACCAGCCTCAGGGTGACCGTTCTCTGACCTAGTGTCCCATCATGCTGTCGCCACACCCTCCTGGCCTTGGGCCCGGCTCCCCTTGTGCCCGCTGACTGCTAGGTCAGTGACAGATCTCAGGAGGCTTAGAGCCCCTGCTATTACAAGTCCCCCTTCCTGTTCTTCTAACAATAATTTTTTAATGTTTATTTATTTTTGAGAGAGAGAGAGAGAGATCATGAGTGGGAGAGGGGTAGAGAGGGGGAGACAGAGGATCCAAAGCAGGCTCTGCACAGACAGCACTGAGCCCGATGGGGGGCTCAAACTCATGAACTGCAAGATCATGACTTAAAAGCCAAAGTTGGACACTCACCCGAATGAGTCACCCAGGTGCTCCATAACAATACTTTCATTTTGTTTAATGTTTATT